CAGCTTTTGGTGTTAAGGAATTCTGTGATTTGCATTTCCGTAAGCCAATGTTTTTTCTGAACCATCAGTCTTTCTTTCCTGATCCTATTAATGTGTATTGTTATACTGTGCTCTTTCCATGTTAGTAGTTATTTTTTTTCCCTGGATTATTAAGATTGCATTGTTAAATGAAGAATGGCCTCATGATTGGACTTCTTTTAAGGTTTTCCCTTTGATGTTATGTGAATGAAATGTTGTATCTAGTATTTTTCTTTTTTTACACTAATGGTTTCTTAGAGTGGCAACCAGTGTTAATATAAGCTGGGAGCTAAATTTGTGGTGATTGATGACTTCTGTAAATGGCCTTTGTCACCATTCTGGTAAAAAATAGCAGAGCTAACGTTTTCCGCAGAGATTTCTCATTTATGTGGCCTGCAGCCCAAGTTTAGATCTGTGTATGGCAAACAGTACAGAATAAAGCCTGTATGTGAGAGGACATGTGTTTCTTTTTCATGTTCCTAAGAGAAATTCCTTTTCTAAAAACACATTTAATTTCTTTTTATCTCTTTTGTATACACGTCACACAGATCTGCATAAGAAATTACTTCAGAAATCCCATCCTTACTGGATTACAGATGTATACATTTACACATTACAAGTTGTATACATTTATGCATACAGTATACTGTATATTAATATATCATTGCTTCTGTGCAAACCAAGATTTTTGTTTTTATTCCTATGATTATGGAATTAATTGGTTTAAACATTTTAATGGTGTTTTTCATTTTATGCATTTATTTTAACTAGTATGGATACCCTCTTTAAGGAGAAATTTTAGATATACATATTAAAGATATGAAAGCCTAACTCTGCTTAGTATTCCTTTAAGGCAGTGGTTCTCAACCTGTGGGTCGCGACCCCTTTGGGGGTCGAACAACCCTTTCACAGGGGTCCCCTAAGACCATCAGAAAACACATATTTCCGATGTGTAAAGAGCAGCTACTGTGTAGAAAGCAGCTGCTGTGTTAAAAGCAGCTACTGTGTTGAAAGCAGCAGTATTGGAGGTAAAACGACACTCATGAATTATAATTACTGGGTAAATAATTTTATGGTTGGGGGTCACCACAACATGAGGAACTGTATTAAAGGGTCACGGCATTAGGAAGGTTGAGAACCACTGCTTTAAGGCCTCGTTCACATCATATGTGCATAAAAACTGATGGGAAAACCATGCAGATTTCACTTGCAGAGACACAAGTTTGCATCATTTTGCACACTCGTTTCAGTGAGTTTTATACTAGTGGTGCACCGAAACGAAAATTCAAAATGCACTTGGCCGAAAACCGAAACCGAAATGCGCAGTTTTTAAAAATGAACATATTTTTTAAAAAAAAAAAAATACACTTTGATTAAAAAAAACAATATATACCGTATTTTCTGGCGTATAAGACGACTTTTCAACCCCTGAAAATCTTCTGAAAAGTCGGGGGTCGTCTTATACGCCGGTGCGAGCCGGTGTCAGGGCCGCACTTTTTCGAGGGGCAGGGCGGCGCCGCCCCCCCTCCTCCTCCAGCGGACACTAAGTACAGGGGTGGACAGAGGGGCTGCTGTACCTTACCTGGCTCCGGTCCCACGACGATCTGGTCCAGGAAGCGCGGCTGCTCCTTCTTTCAGTTCGGCCGCTCGATGGTCACGCGGCCGCTCGGCTCCACCTCCTCACTGGTGATTGGGCGCCAGCACTGGAAAGGCACACAAGCGACCAATCACCGGCGAGGAGGCGGAGCCGAGCGGCCCCGCGAAAATCGAGCGGCCACACTGGAAGAAGGAGCAGCCGCTCCTCTCCCCCACTGACACTAACGATGGGGCACTATTCCTCCTCCACTGACACCAACGATGAGGCACTGTTCCTCTCCCACTGACACCAAAGATGAGGCACTGTTCCTCTCCCACTGACACCAACGATGAGGCACTGTTCCTCTCCCACTGACACCAACGATGAGGCACTGTTCCTCCCCCACTGACACCAACGATGAGGCACTCTTCCTCCCCCACTGACACCCACGATGAGGCACTGTTCTCCCCACTGATACCAATGATGGGGCACTATTCCTCCTCCCCACTGACACCAATGATGGGGCACTATTCTCCCCACTGATACCAATGATGGGGCACTATTCCTCCCCCACTGACACCAACCACTATCCTCCCTCACTGACACCAACGATGGGGCACTATTTCCTCCCACTGACACCAATGATGGGGCACGATTCCTCCCCCACTGATACCAACGATGGGGCACTATTCTCCCCACTGATACCAATGATGGGGCACTATTCCTCCCCACTGACACCAACGATGGGGCACTATTCCTCCCACTGACACCAACGATGGGGCACTATTCTCCCCACTGACACCAACGATGGGGCACTATTCCTCCCCCACTGACACCAACGATGGGGCACTATTCTCCCCACTGACACCAACGATGGGCGCACTATTCTCCCCACTGACACCAACGATGGGGCGCTAATTCCCCCACTGCACCAACGATGGGGACTATTCTCCCCACTGACACCAACGATGGGGCGCTATTCCTCCCACTGACACCAATGATGGGGCGCTATTCCTGCCACTGATACCAATGATGGGGCGCTATTCCTCTCACTGATACCAATGATGGGGTGCTATTCCTCCCACTGATACCAATGATGGGCCACTATTCCTCCCACTGACACCAATGATGGAGCACTATTCCTCCCACTGACACCAATGATGGGGCACTATTCCTCCCACTGACACTAATGATGGGACACTATTCCTCCCACTGACACCAATGATGGGGCACTATTCCTCCCACTGACACTAATGATGGGACACTATTCCTCCCACTGACACCAATGATGGGGCACTATTCCTCCCACTGACTAATGATGGGGCACTATTCCCACCCACTGACACAATGATGGGGCACGATTCCTCACACACTGACACCAATGATGGGGCACGATTCCTTCCCACTGACTAATGATGGGGCACTATTTCATCCACTGACACCAATGATGGGGCACTATTCCTCCCACTGACTAATGATGGGGCACTATTCCTCACACACTGACACTAATGATGGGGCACCATCATTGGTGTCAGTGGGAGGAATAGTGTCCCATCATTGGTATCAGTGGGAGGAATAGTGCCCCATCATTGGTGTCAGTGGATGAAATAGTGCCCCATCATTGGTGTCAGTGGGAGTAGTGCCTCATCATTGGTGTCAGTGGGAGGAATAGCACCCCATCATTGGAATACCATACCATATTGAAATCAAATCTGATGTTTTTTTTCATTTTTATTTGGTGTGCGTTGGAAGAGGGGTAGTCTTATACGGCGAGTATAGCTCAAACCCTATATTTTAACAGGAAAAGTAGGGGGGTCGTCTTATACGCCCGGTCGTCTTATACGCCGGAAAATACGGTACCCCAATTGTTTTGTAAAATATGTAAGAGGATGTTATGGCGAGTAAATAGATACCCAACATGTCACGCTTTAAAATTGTACATGCTCGTGGAATGGCGTGAAACTGCGGTACTTAAAAATCTCCATGGGTGATGCTTTAAAAATTTCTACAGGTTGGTAGTGTAAAGTTACAGAGGAGGTCTAGTACGAGGAGAATTGCTCTTGCTCCGACATTCGTGGCGAAACTTCACATGTGTGGATTGAACACCATTTACATATGTGGGCGTGGCCTACATATGCATTCACCACTATGTGTGAGCACAGTGGGACGGGGGCACTTTAAACTTTTTAAAAAAAATGTAATGTTTTTTTTTTGCACTGTTCCTTTTAAAAAATTGTAATCACTGTTTTTTTCTTATCACACGAAATGCATGCATCCCCTGTGATAGAAATAATTAGTGACAGGTCCTGTTTATGGAGAGATATGGGGTCAATAAGACCCCACATCTCTCCTCTGCATTGTAAAGTATTGGATCAAAAAAAAACCATTGATCTAGTTCTTTAAAAAAAAAAAAAAAATGCCCGGAACTGGAAGTGACATCGCTCCGGTCCTCCAAGGGCATAGAGATGCGTGGCTGCCATCTTTCCTTCACTCATCCCTATGCCCAACTCCGGGATCCATGGTTTCTCAGGTAAGACTGAACTACCGAGCGGCGGGTGGGCGACAGCGGAGGGGCGGGTGGCTTTCAGGAGCGGGGTTTTTTTCGGCACCTGTATCGGTGCTTTTTTTTTTTTCATATCGGCCGACAGCCAAAAGGGGGTGTTTTCGACCGCAACGTTTCGGCCAGCGGAATTTCAGTGCATCCCTATTTTATACATGCTGCAGATTCCTGCACAGAAAAAAATACAAATGTGATACTAGTGTTGTTGTGTGAACAGAGCACATAGCAACTGTTTTCTCTGTACCCTTGCAGAACGCATGCAGAAAAACGCACGTCTCTGCACCATGATGCAAACGAGGCCTAAAGTTGGTCCAAACAAACTATTTACTGCACCAACAGGTATGCTTGCTGGTGCATTGTATTGTTGAGGCAGTGTGATGAGAACTTCCCATCCCACTCCTGGAACAAAATAAAATGGCTAAGCGCCGTTCAGCCATTCATGGAAAACTTTGTATTCTGCAAATGAGTACAAAGCTTCCTCTGATTGGTTAAGGTGGAAATATAGATGGCTGACATCATGATTTCTGCCAGTTGCAGGAAACTTTGTATTCATTCATAGAATGAATTCAAATTGTGCTGCTCAGCCCAATTCTGTTTTTTTCCAGAAGTTCCACTGCTGGAACATAGTGCTGTGTACTCTGTATAGCTAAGAATACATACAATTAATACAGTGTGCCCAGCAAGCGCACCTGTCAGTGTAGTAATTTGTTTAGGTAAAATTACATTAAGGGCCATTCACACCAGAAGGCGCATTGCCCTTGATGGATGTGCGCAGGTGCCATTAAAGTGTTACTGAACCTATGACCCTGCCTTCACTAATATCTGGTCTCCTACAATACACATAACATGGAAATGCAATTATTTTAGCAAATATAAACTTCTAAATAACTTTTCTCATCAGCAGTTAGAGCAGTCTTGTGACATCTATTGGTGTCCAGCAGAGCACTGGTTAAAGCTTGTAGGAGGAGTTTTCATTCTCCCTTGATTGTCCAATGAGGCTGCAGGACCCCGACCTTCTATCTGGACAGTGCTGATTAGCCCTGTGCAGATCACATTCACTCTCCCAAAACTAAAAAAAAACTCTTTAGCAATACACACCAAACTGGGCATGTGAATCTTGCCCCCAAGGCTCTGTTCTATCAGCAGATGGATTGGAGACAGTAGAAGAAGGAGATAATCAGAGAAGACAAGATCAGACATCCTTTTTACACAATGCGGAACCCCTTAGGTTCCACAGTGAGTATAACAATCATGCTTTACTGCGTATACAGACTGATTTTACTGTTGTGGTTTTAGTAACACTTTAAATGAATCCCTAGATATTTTGGATTTTTTAAAGTCTGCCATAATAAGCGAGAAATGTGTGCTTGTGGCTTGGCACACTCTGGTGTGAAATGACCCTAAACATGAAGCTAGGCTTTGAGCATATGTAAATAGTATCAATGTGTGTTAATGTTTAAAACAATGGATGCAGCTACTATATTATATGCAAAGGCTTTGCAGTGCTGCATATTGTTTGTGGTTTACATCTCATATTAACAATGTTTAAGGGCAAACTGTCACCTTTGTCGGTCTCCACTGCCAACACTATCCAGAACTTCCAGATATGGGGGAGCTTGTAACCCCCTGTGCCTATGACAAGGATTCCCTCAGTCATGTGACAGTGCTTGAGAATAGCAGCCAATCAGAGAAACTGTCACTTTGGGAGGTGACCACATCTCTTTAACCTTTTGCCCCTACGTAATGCATATGTGCGGTGGCAAAGAGGATGCCCACACTCCAAACATATGTATCCGTGGGTGAGGTGAGTGCACCAAGTGCAGTGACTGAGCTCTCATAGACAGCTCCCAGTCTCTACTAATAATTAGTACCAGTGGTTTCGGGCTCCCAATCACGTGACCACTGTGACAGCCAGTCACTGGATGGGAATGGGTTAAGCAGGGGATTCAATATAGCTGTGTTAGATACAGAGCTTCCTCTAGTTCCCAGTTTACAAATTTCTGCTTTTTTGTAAATTAACAAAATATGAAAGAGCAATCATATGAATTTGTTAAATACATTTAAAGAAAGCCTATGCAAGCAAAGCAACAGGTGTACTTTTAAGCTGTAGTAAACACCGCTTGCTCACTTGTACCTACAGGTAAGCTTATGATAATGATATTAACTGCTTCTTCAGCCTGTGACATCACCGGCGTATGCGCTGTGCTGTGGCCGTGACTCGCATGCGCATGGGTGACGTCATCAGGGCTCGGTCATCCAAATGGCCGGAGCCCACAAAACTGGAAGGAAAACCTGGTAAAGATGGAAGCCCTGTCAGTGGTGACAACTCACCACTGGAGGACTTTATTTTTAGGTACATTTTCATAATATGCTGGTATGCGATACATACTAGCACGTTATGACATTGCCTTGCAGGGGGAAGAATTTTCTTTTTTTTAATGCTGTTTTTGCAGCCACATATACTCATCTTCTTTTTACTTATCTGCTGCTCCAGTCAGCCTCTGGGAGCCAGGAAAGGAAGCCCTGTATAAGCAGCAAGACTCTCTTGTGAGTTTGCACAGTGCTAAGGACCAGTCTGCCTTTCCTCCTGGGACCAAGGCCAAACACAAATTGAAATGGGTCACATACTCATTCATTCCCAGGCGTACCAGATATGTTCTGGTTTAATGGAGTGGCAAATGCGTGAAGGAAAGGTGAGTATGTGCTGCTGGGAAGGTGAGCATATATGTTGTTTTGCCCGGCATAGCAAAGACGTGTTTAACTGCTTCCCACCCAGCCCTGGTGTCCCTTTAACTGGGTCTTTACATCTGGGGGCAGGAATGGCTGCTTGATCATGTGACTGGCTTCTGATGATTATTAACAAACAGGATCAGGCTATGACAGCTTGGTCACTGTGCTGGGAGCACACAGTAAGCATGCTCTCAGCACAGACACCTTGGGCGTACTTGAATGTGTATGTGCAGCATGTCAGCATTAAAGCCCACCCATATGTGTTACATGGGGGATAAGAAGTTAAAATAGTCTGCCGTAGTAACTAAAAATACATGTTTCCTTGAAATCTTGCTTTACTTTTCCTTGAAATTCTGTTACTTTCCTCCTTTACAGGTCAAGGGGAAGAAACCTTTATTTGTACAGCTTATATTGGATAACATATGGAGTCTGTATGATGCTGTCATGAAGAGGTGAGTGACAGGCAAAGTGTTTCTATTGGAAAATGTGTGTGTGTATATTTATTCAATCTTCTTGCATAACTTTTGTATTCACTCTTTTCTTTTAGAGAGAAAGAGAAAATAGACAAAATAGTTCAATCACTGGGTTTGAAAATCAGTCCTCGGGAATCGCGGCATACTGACCCAAAAGTCCATGTGAGTGCAATTTGCAGTCAGTGGCTTCCCATATCTCAGGCTGTGCTATGTATCCTCTTTATGAGCTGAGTGTCATCAGAAAAGAATATTCTTTTTGCTTTAATGGATAAGAGCAACTTAATCTTCAGATTCCAAAGATATTCTTTCTTGTTAAGGAAATGTAGTCAGCATGTTGTGAATTATTAATTAGACAACCTTTACTAAAACAGAAAATTGAAACTAATATACTTCACAAAGAGCAAGCATTAAATGTTATTATATACCTTTTATTCTTAGGTGGACTTCTCATGTGTCCCCAGAACCAATTACATGAGCATGGAATGGGAGCACTGATATGTTCCCACAGCAGAGTTACTCTGGGCTCCATCTGATTTTCTTCCTGCTTACTTTAATCTGCCCGCTCTCAGGGATGTTTCTTCCCCATTGCCTTCACTTCTTCTACTGTCAAGTGACAGAAAATGCCATTCAGTCAAACCCAAGCTTGCAGCTCTTTTAGACATCAGTTGTAGGTAAGGGTAGCAGTTTTGTGAGTTTTGCTGTCTTCATGTACTGTCTGGTGTTTCTCTTTAAAGATGAATATTAAAGCAACGTTAAAGTGGTTGTAAAGACTGAAGGTTTTCTACCTTCATGTATTCTATGTACGAAGGTAAAAAACTTTCTATGTGCAGCGGTCCCCCCAGCCCACCCCAATCCTTACCTGAGTCTCCTCCGATCGAGTGACGTTCTCGACAGCCTCTGCTGTTTGGGGACTCATCCTCATTGGCTGAGACCATCCTCCATTGGCTGTCAATCACAGCCAGTGAGGAGAGAGCAGGGGGTTGGGGCTGAGCCACGGCTCTATGTTGTCATATGGACGCATAGAGCAGCGACTCGGAGACGAGCAGGCAGCGGTGCCCCCAGGGCGAGCAGCTTTCCCTGGGGGCACTGCTCGAGGTGGAGGAGCCAGAAGGGCCAGCGGGGACCCGAAAAGAAGAGGGTCTGGGCTGCTCTGCCCAAACCCACTTCACAGAGCAGGTAATTGTAGGCATGTTTGTTATTTAAAAAAAAGAAAAAAAAACAAAGCTTTAGTGTCACTTTAACTGCCTCCTGCCCGCCATATAAGGTAATGACGGATGGGTGGTGGTTCACTTGTTCTGGGAGGACGTCATATGATGTCCTCCCACTCTAACCACTAGTGTGCTCCGATCGGTCCTGTGCTGTGTCTCTTGGACATAGTGGATCCCCGATCAGTGGAAAGAGCCAATGACTTTGCTGATCGCATGTAAATAAGGAAATGCTGGTTATCTGCATTCCTCTCCTCACGAGCTGTCACGCTGACACTCGTGAGGAGAGAAGAGCCGGTAATCAGCATTCCTCAGAGGGGACATCTACACTGATCATCATGGCACTAATGATCAGTGTGCCCTGATGATCAGTGTAGCCCCATTTGTGCCACCTGTCGGTGTCCATCAGTACCCATCTGAGCTGCCTTTTAGTACCGCTTGTCAGTGCCCATCACTTCAGCCTCATTAGCGCACATCAGTGAAGGAGAAAATTTACTCATTTACAAAATTTTATAACAGAAAGAAAAAAACTTTTTTTTTTCAAAATCTTTACTTGTTTTTGGTTGGTTTAGCAAAAAATAAAAACCCCAGTGGTGATTAAATACCACCAAAAGAAAGCTCTATCTGTCTCAAAAAAATGATATGTCATATTGGTACAGTGTTGCATGACCACGCAGTTGTCATTCAAAGTGCAACAGTGCTGAATGCTGAAAATTGGCCTGGGTAGGAAGGGGGTTAAAGTGCCCAGTAGACAAGTGGTTAAACCCCAAAACAAAAAATATAATATATTGCAGCTTACCAATCCTTAGATGAGGTATCAGCATTAGTTAGGGATCCTGCCAGTATGTTATTTTTCAAAAGAACAAGCTGTCCTGCAAAGGTGGCAGTTAGAGGGTTGAGGTAAAACATTTAACACTGACAGGCATGCTTACAGCGGTTAGATTTATTCATTATTGTATGACCTATATCACAAAAGGAAAGAAAAACTGTTACGGTAACTGCTTAAAAATGTTAGCTGGAGTTCAGCTTTAAAGTGGAACTAAAATAAATTTGAAAAAATTGTGAACAGGCAGAATCTTAATTACAGAAGAGACACACAATGTATCTTCTGCATTAAAATACACCTACCTGCCTGTTTGCATTCCCCAGTAGAATGTACACTGAGCTGAAAATGCGCATATAACTGCGCTCCTATGCTTGCGCGGGAGTGATGTCAATCCCTGATCATCCTGTCAAGATCGGCACCAGGGAGAATCTGGGAAAAAGATGCCAGCTAGGGACCTCAGAACATTGAAACATTGAGGTAAGTATTACTGTTTCACTTTAAATTGATAGCCAAGTCCATCTAAATCTGTTAATATATCTAAAGCTGGCCATACACTAGTAGATTTTTTTTTAATTGACCATTCGTACGGAAATTTTCATCAGCACATAACTTATGTCGAAGGATTTGATTCATCTCTGTCTGCCACCTGAGGCCAGCCACTGCACTGGGTATCACATGATCACAATGTCAGCAAAGCTGCTATGAATCAATCTGATTCATAACAGCTCTGCTTCTTTTCCTACTGAGCTATGATTGGCCCACAGGTGCCACATGATACATGGGGCCAGTCATAGCACCCTGTACCTTGTGATCAGCTCAGCTAATCACAGATCACTATTTTGAGCTGTCAAAAACCTAACTCATTCATGACAGAGA